TTTCCCTAGTAGCTCTTCTTCACTGCTCCCTGCAGAGCAATGACATTGACCTAGACTGATGTGCACAGTTTAAGTCCAAGACCAAGCCCCATAACCTTTGTATCAAGCACACAGCCTGTGAGTTAGGCAACTTTCACATACGCTGTCACAGTTCAAAGATATTGCCATGTTCCTTAGCATCCTACTTCATTGGCTTTCAGCTCCTAAATTCAATATTCAAAACGTACGCCCCATTTCTGGCCTTCAGCTTCCATCCACTGCACTGAAAAAATGTTCAATAGCTTTCCCTCCTACTAGGAGAAAAAAACCCCTCCCAAACCATTACTAGTAAGAGGTACTTCCAAACCACAATCCAGTTATCTCCCTGCTTTTTCGTGGTAATCCACTGACCTCCTTGGCAGCAGTTGCAAGATTCTAGTTAGTGGAAAATGTCACGAATTATCAACATCCAGGTGTTATTTTTCTTTAAAAAAAAAAGCCAACAACAACAAAAAAATCAAGCACCAGTTTTGTACTGTTGCTTATAAAGGCATGATTTAAGTGGGCTTCATCTTAATTAGCACCTCCACCACTCACACAGCAACAGTGAAATTTTATAAAATACAGTTGTTGCTATTTCAGGCTCCATGCCTGCCTCTGCTCTACATTTCATTGACTCCGGGGGGGCTTAGTTGTAATAGTTCCTATTTCAGGTCACAAGCTTAAGTAAGAGAAACTCAAATTACCATGAAAAAATTGTTCTGGAACTTTTGTTGTGTAATAGAATTACCCTTAATCTCACTGCTGCTTACCAATCAAGGCACTGAACTAATTGTTTAATAACAATTTACTAGGAATCTTGATAGAAGATATGCTAAAGTCTTCAGTGCACGTGTTTCTGAGCCAAAGGATAATAAATCACTTATTGAAAACCAAAGTTATTCTCCTGAGGCCAAAAGGGAACACTCCCAATGAGTTTTCAGGAAGGAAAGGCTGAGCTCTTACCCCTCCTTAGCTAAAGCTCAACCTCAGGCTGAGCCTGCTTGCACCACTGTCTCCTCCCAGACTGCACAGGACAGGACATCAGCTCTCGGTTGCTTTTCTTCTTGTTCACTTGTAACAGAATTCTCATCCCTTGAGGCAAGGAAGCATTCTTGCACCGATAACTGTGGAAGGGTTAACCCAGGCAGCTTTGGGGTTTCTGACTAAAGCTGTTCTCTCCCAGTACCCTGCCATTCCCACCAAGACAGTAGGAGGCCCAGGTGGTCGCAGTCATTTGTCAGGACTTCTGCCTGCTGCATCCACTCAGTCTCTTGACATCATTCTCAGAATTTGTTGCAGAAAGCAGCACTGGGCAATCTCAATTACAAAGCAGAATAGTCTCAAAACATGATTTTGTACATGATTTAGTGCTAAATCAAGAACCCACCGGATGACAGGATTTATTTAAAAGGTAGAGATGGGCAATAGATCTCCCTGCCCTTTAAGACTGTATTTAAAAGGCCAAGCAGTGGCTCACACAGTTGTGAGGCTCCTGTCCATCACACTCACTGTGATCTGACACCCCACGTACTACACTACATTTATGGCTTAAGAAGCTTTATTTTGATTTTAGTTGCATGGGAAGATTTCACTGACCACTTTCCTCAGATCTACCAGTGGAAAGGCCCATAGGGTACAACTTTTATCAGATGTAGCTTCAGCATTGACAGGGTAGCAACAGGAGGTATTGGTTAATTGAATGATCCAAGGCTCCAGTTGGCGATTGCTCCCTTCAATACTCCCTAATCAATTCTCTTGTAGTACAGTCTGACCCCATGTAACAGTCATCCATAGGTTGGAAGTAGGTTCTTCAGTAGATCAGCTGAGAGGTATGAGTACACAAATAACATTCTTGAATTAAAAAAAAATCCAGACTGAAACACCGGGGGAGATGGAAGGGGAAAGAAACTGAACTCCTTTAGGATTATTTCCCCCCCACCCGCTTCAAACTTGGCTTGATGACCAGAATACTTTACAGAGGAAACTTACTTAAACAGGAAAAAAAAAAAAATAATCCCCATTTGTTTTGAGGACAGGAAAAGCCACAAAACAAAACGCTTCTGCTTTTCTTTCTAGGTAGACTTTTTCCCAAACAAACAATTTGCTGAATATCAACAGGAATTTGCAAACTGTTTTGATCAACCTGAAGCTGCATGTTTAAGAGGTGAAAACATCCACTCATCTTCACTGCTGGCTACAAAAGTAGATCTGCTTATACTGCTGCATCTACACATAAAGCACATCACCACAGTTTCAAGAAGCTACTTTATTCTAGAGATGACCCCTAGCTTTTAAAATTCCTAACCAAATTTTATACAGCTCCAAATGCTGAGAATACCTAGATCTAACACTTTGGCTCATAGCTACTCCTTAGTCTAACTGCAGAATATTCAGGTTAGGTAAATGCATAACATTCTTACCAGATGTGAAGACTACTTAACCACATTACCTCTGAGCTCTCAATCGTATTCCTCATCTGTAGTCAATTGTATTTAAAAACACAGAACAGGAAAAAAAAAATTAAATTTGTCCTCATTATTTCCACACCATGCAACTTAGCACTTGCTCCACACTGATGCCCTGCCTTCATTTTTCCCCCCCTACAGGCCTGCGTAAATAAAGAGGAGCCAGAGGATGGACAAACCTTGCACTCCACCATCACGGGTGCTGCAGGAAACAATCCTGTGGCCTGGATCTTTGGAAGAGGACAAGCAGGATGGGGAACTCCATTCCATTTTTTGTTCCTTATCTTCTTTTCAAATGCAATGAATGTATATTGAAGAATGGCCATGTGGTTGGTTTTTAATTCTCCAAGTGCCCTGACAAACCATTCCTACCATCGCCTGGTGGTACCAGCCAATAAATGGCACAGGCCTGAAGACCTCCGGCAGGACAAGTTCACCAAGAGCCTCTCTCAAGAGACACAGTTGAAATCAGAGCTGCTTCCTTGTGCCACGGATCCATAAAGAAGGAAGCACTGCATAACATCCCGGGACATTTCATGTTTTGTAGTTAGCTTCTTCCCCTTCTCTTTTCCCTTATTCCAAAAAGAGCCTAAATCCCCTAACAACTTCATCTCCTCCCTGCCTGTATAGAACTAGGTGGGGGCTATTTACATTTGAGCTGTTTAGGCTTTTTTTTAAGTTATAGATGAGACCTCTTCCCTTTCTGCCCATCCAGGACTCCCTTCCTCATTCTCTGTTCTTTAGACACAGCCAGCACCTTCGCGATAGGCATTTGTCCTGGATTTCAGTGTTCTGTGACCTAACTCCTACAATGCTGAACAGCTAAAAACCTAGTACAAGCACCAAATCTTTACTCAGCATGGAGCTTAGCCCCATTTCAACATGCCAAGCCATTCGCAGAGCAGCCATAGCTTACTCTGTGTTTGCCCATCTGCATTAAATTAACACTGGTGTAGCCATGTACACAGCTGGAACCTGCTGCAGGACACTGGGAAATGCCTAGTTCTCCGTGGATCACAGATGGGTTTGCACCTGCCTTCTTCACCAAGCAGCCACGCTTATTCCAGGCACAAGCCTGGCAACATCCTGATGGAAGGGTTTTGGGTTTTGGTTTTTTTTTTTTTTTGCAACAGGGTAATTTTGAGGGGAGGGAATGGGCTGGAGGAAAGGGGGAATATAAGTGTAATTAAGTTGCATTAATAAGCTGCAGCAATTAATTAAAAAACCAAACAAAAAACAATGTCAGTTTTGTCAGCTACATCTCCCAGCACAGTGTCAAGCAGAGAAAGAGCACTTGTCAGCCATCCGTGGCAGTCTTTGGCTGGTACCTCCCAAGTACTGTTGTAATTCTTTATTGTCTTTCCTAATCTGTTTGAGATTACTTGGTATTTCTGAGAAATGCTTTTCAGGAGAGTCAAGCTAGAAGCCATGCTAGGGAAGAGAAGCATGAGGGAAAAATTAAAAGAAATAAAACCATTAAGTGCTAAGTCAAAGAGAGAATGACACACCCCTTTCTTCATCCCATGCCAAAGGGCCCAGGAAGCAAACCCCTCTACTACACCATTTAGACAGCACGGATAGCAGTGTGCACACACAACCTCTTTGCACTTTCTCTACCTCTTCTTTGATTCTGTTCATTTCTGTATTGCACTTATTCCTACTTGCCCACCTGATGTTCCCCGGAGGGGCAGAAAAAGGAATGGAAGAATACATACCCTCTAGTCAGTGAGATATTTCTGTGAAAGACTTCATTTACATGGGACTTTTGAAATTAATCTTCCCTTTCGTCATCAGAAAAGATTGACTTTACACTTTTTGGCTTACTAAGATTTCTTTTCCTCTAAGAGAAATGTTGTCCACCAGACACCAGCATTCTTTATTGGCCTTGAGCGCAACCAAAATTCAGCACAGATGGTGGAAAAAACACAGCTTTGAACAGCTGAAACATTTCACTTGTAGTTTCAGGAGGGAACTCTTGTAGATGGTAGCATGAAGTCAGAATGAACTCTGAATTATTTTGAGGTCTGCATGTTTTTAACACTATACATCTCAAACTGACCAAGCCCCGATACCACATTTACTAAGACAACTGATCAAAACCACTTGCTAAAGAGAATAAGCCTCAGACTATGCACTTAATGGCACTGTAATACACACTGGTAAAGATCAATTAAATAAATACAAGTGTGATGGCCAAGTAGCTCCATAACTACCACCCTATGAACACAGGTAATTAAGTACCTTTTAATAGAAGTAAACCAAAGGTTAGGTAAGCCTATAATATTTAGTATCAATGACTGCCATAAATCATAAAAAATGAGTCTAAAAGAAAACAAGACCAGAGAAAACAAGAAAAGGTCATATTCCACACTTAATGACCTCCTCTAGTTTTCATTAGCAGAGCCGTTCATCCTTCATACTAGAATCATAGAATCATAGATGAACAGCTCTGCTAATGAAAACTAGAGGAGGTCATTAAGTACTCTGACAACTCTTCCTCCTGGTCTGCTTGTGCTAGACCGACACTAAGTACTGCAAGGTCACGCAATGACCCTGTTCTGTTGGGTAGGGATTCCCAGTCATTTGCCCCTCCAGCACGCTATAAGATTAAGGAGCAGCTGAAGCTTTTGCTCCAGGGGGTTCCCTTATCACCAGGTTAGCAGTGTCCTCTACTGGGGGGATAGGCATCACTTGAGAGACTACCAGTTAAAAACCAACACGTACCTGTTTCTGAAGGGACATCTTCCCATAGGAAAAAAATGGCTCCACCCTTCCAGATGCAGAAAAGCCACAATTTTCAAAGTGTTAAATAAAAGAAGCCCCAGAAATAGCTGGTCTATAAACAGCCTTGTAGTCCTGTTAATGCTCAGGTGAGGTTCCAGCCACGCTGAGCTAAAGTTCAGGAGGAAATAATAGTATTGAAACACTGAGCTGGATTTTTTTCTCCCCTTCTCAGATTAGCCTATCTACTTGAACTGTAAGCTTTTGCTGTCACTTAGAGGCAAAATAAAGCCAATGACAGCTTGAACCCAGACACAATGCCTAATCTGGCATGGTGGTGCAATTCTGTTCCCTATGAAAGCTGCTGTCTGTCAAATACCCACCAATTTCTCCAAGAGCTGGAGAGTTTAAACTGCTCAACTAGTAATTTCTCTCACCTTTGCCAAGAGCTGCACTAATATTACCTTCTTCTGAAGGCCAGGATGAAGATATCTGCCCTCCCACACGGCCCAGGAATAACTGATGCCTTCCTCAGAGACAAGCCCTGTTCAATATCCAGGGCTGGAACCAAAAGAAGCAACTCCAGAGCTGGTGTTCCAGTCTCCACAGATGTTAAGAGCCACGTACCAAAATTCCGCACTGAGTTCAGATGCAGAATTATTCCCCAGTTACACAGCTTCATCTATCAGGTCCTCAGCCTCCTGCACCCTTACCCCTCCTTTTGCAGTTAAGAGAGTCTGTAGGACCCTCATGCTGTCTTGTGAATTCCAGAAGGAAGCTAATGGATGGCAAGAATGGACACTTCTCTCACTTGTGCCCATGTAGTAACTAAAAGACAGAAGTTCGAGTGATTTACAACTTCATGCTGCTCTGTCATCTCAGAATGCCACCACACCCCCTCCCCCAGTAGGGCATTACACTAGAATCAGATACTCAGACCTCTGTAAGATAAACAAAAGAAATCCTTTTTATTCAGTGAAAAAGAACAGTTATTTTTAAAAAAAAAAAAAAAAACAAAACTTATTTCCTTTCCCCTGCAGTTAAGCTATAGTATTGACAAAACTTTCTCTTTTTGGCTACATGATAGAATGTTCCATTTAAAACAAGAATCAGTTTAGCCAGCAAACGGAAGTCCTAAAATGGCAAGTTTCCATAGTTATCTTTTAGTAGGGTAATACCCAACAGCCAGGGAAGAGGCTCTGTAAGAAGCTTCCATAAGATCATCTAGTGACCCTGACCATCAAAAAAGCCTTTCAGCTTCTGTCTAGGAGGTCAGCTGAGAGTAAAGAGGTTGGAGAGTCTACAACAGGCCAGGCTTTTCACTTTGTTACACGGATTTGAGCATTACTGAACGATTCCATCAATTGTTGGCAGTTCAACAAGGCGGGGGGAGACAGCAAAGAGCATAGAAGAAAAACTTAGATTCTCCTTCCCCCACAATGCATTGCTGATGAGTGTTCTAGTCTCAACAGAATGCACTTTTTATGAAAATACTCCCATTTTGACTCTGACTTACTGAAGGAAATCATCAACCCTAGCAGAATAGTCTCTAAACAACTGCTAAGTGAGAGAAAGAAAACCAGAGGCAGTCTACTGAAAACAGCCCTTGATTTCAACACAGAGCAGGGATTCATTTGAGAATACAAGAATTCGGAGAAGGTGCATCTCTGTCAACAAACGCCTCTTTTTGGAGCATCTTTGGAGGACAAAAGAAACCAGCAGAGTTTTTCTGGAGCAGTCCTACAGCAAGATCAGCAAGAGTACAGCAAACCAGCAACTCTTACTAGAAACACTGTGCATAGGAGGCACATTTAGTAAGTTTTTACACTTATGCCAAGCTACCCTGCAAATAGTTTGATGCTGGAGCAATCTTATTTACTTATTTTCTTCCTTTGCTGTTTTACAAATGAGTTGTATAGACTTAGCTTTCCCCTTCCCATCATGGTTCAGGACATGAAAGTCCTCACGCTTCCCCGGATGACCGCTCTGCAGATGGGACACAATCTCAAATTGAGGGCACATTCTCCACAAACTACCAGGTGGCCACAAGGAACAAACACAACAGAAACATCTCTGTCCATGCACACTTTGCACATCCTTTCCTCTTGCAGGCGTCGGAGCTGTTCTTCTGCACTCATCTGAGGCTCATCTTGACCAAAAAAGAAAGAAAAAGCCCAAACTGTTAGTACTACAGCAGCTCCAGAATGCCCGTCCTGGCATCGTAGGAAGTCACACTGCAACTCACTCATTGTTTTGTACAGAGACTGCAAAGATTGCAAAAGTACATCTCGGGCAAATTTAATTTAAGCTGAAAAGCTACAGCTATTTTAGACTCTGGCTTATCTATACAAGACTCAGCTTATCTACACATGCTGGCCTGAGCAGGGACACCAATCAACGTCTTTTTACTGTAATACATAAGTTATCCCGATAAACCAAATCTTTTGTGTAACAGTGCTTCACAGTGGAACTCTTAACTCCCGAAAAAGGGTCTCTATGTTCAGTTACCATTCAAGCTAGCACACACCCCTTCAGGATTTAAAAAAAAAAAAAAAAAAAAAAAAAAATAAATCAAGACAACAACCACTGATACCACCACTCTAAAAATCATCCCAGTTATGCCTAGGCTCAATTTCACCACCACTGGCAGCCCAGGGCACCTGATTCCTTTTGCTGCATGTCTTCTCTTGAACTCGATGTTTCAGTCTCTCTCTGAACAGCATCTGCATAACCAGGAAAGAAGATGGCATTAAATGCTACCCCTTTCCTCCCTCTTCAGACAGCACTGTTTAAAAAGATGAAGCGTCCTGGATTTCAGCAGCCTTCAGTTAAACACCTCTTTACTCCACTGTTAACTTCACACATTCAGCCTGGTGAAGCCGATGTTCTCTGTGGTGCTTCAGTTGCTATGCACGTTAACCTCCCTACCGAGACATGTCCACATCACGTTGTTTCCTCAGCAAAGTTGGTTTATCTATCTGACGGCAGGAGCCATCAGCCACTCCTGTGCTACTATCTAAATCATACTTTTGGGTTTGGTTTTTTTTTTTTTTAAGCTTAGCTAAAGAGATGGCAGGCTGCAATATGGACACTGTAGCTTTGGAAAGCAGGCTTGCTACCGGAGAAAGCCTGTGTGGAACTGCATCTTTAAATAAACTTCACTTGGCAAACAGACTCCACAAAAACATATAACACAAAACAGACGTAAGGAAGTTCAGGAGAACATATACTATCCAAATAAACAAGAAGTATGGCTATTTCTGATCAAGCCGTTGATTCCATTTTGAATAGGCTTGGAGTACTCATCCATCCTAGAAGCCTTGCTACAGACAACTGCCTCTGCCTGCATCAATGTGAATTTGTGCCCAAGCCTTCACATCATGCAGCTGCCTGCTACTGCAGGTCTAAGGGCAGCAGAAAATCATAGAAAGTTTTGGGTTGGAAGGGACCCCTAGAGGTCCTCTAGTCCAACCCCCCTGCAGTGAGCAGGGACACCACTAACTAGATCAGGTTGCTCAGAGCCCCATCCAACCTGGTCTTGAAATATTGAGGCTATGTACACCATAGGCTATGGGAAGCAGATATAGTTACTGATACCCCAGTAATCACAGCTCCTTCAGGTTTCTTTAAAGCAGAACCTCATTCTTCAGCTTCTCAAAGAAAGGCAGACTTGGATACATTACTACTCTTAATTCCAGCCGAGGAAGAGAGAAGGCAGACCCACATGACACTCACAGCAGTGCTCAAGATTAAGTGAATAAGAGGTTAAACATCCACCAAGAACGTGGGTGTGCAAGTCAGGCATACCTCCGCTTTCCTCTGCACTGCTGCTCTCTTCCCAGTCTGGCTGAAGCAGATCAGAAATCAGTTCAGACTCAGAAAGGTAGAAAGTCCCAGTCAGCATGTATTTATTCTCTACCAGGCTAGACACCCAGGTGGCATCAAAGCCCATCTCCAGGACATTCTGCACTATGGTAAATGGATCCAGAGAAGGAAGAGCCTGCAATTCCCAGTTCCTCAGAGGATCTGTAAAGCAGTGAGCAGATACTTTACCAAAAAGGCCGAACTCTGGGCCAAAAGTATGCTACTCCCTGAAGCTGTTATACATAAAATGGCATTAGTACATTCTAGAACATTCCTCAAGCTATTTATATAGCTAGATCAACATCCAGCTTTACAGTTCTTGCGTCCGATCATCATTCACAAGAAAGTCATCAAAAGCAATTTCATAAGAGTCAAGAGACTAATTCTGGCTGGTTTATTCTACTGTATCAGTGAACCAAGTCTCCCGTGTTTGGCCCCAGTCCAGAATCCTTATCTTTGTTTTCACATCCCAGAACAGAAGACTCAAAACTGCTTTCATGAAGATCAAGTGGAACATACCAATTGAAGCCTCTCCTACCTCATAATCTAGCTCAACCATTCATCAGTAAAGACAGAAGTTGGAAATTCAGCTGGCAGCCCCTTCAAAGGCTTAAGTCCTTCTTAAGCTCATCCTATTGGATAGGCTCTTCAAGAGAATGAGAAAAATCAGTTTTCCAGTTATGGGAGCCAAATTTCACCTACTTAAATTTCCAGCAGCAACTGATGAATGGGAATAGATCCCCAGGATCAACACTTTCATGAACAACTGGACCCTCTAGCTGTTCTCTGGTCTCCTATCAAGTATGTTTAAAATGCTGTCATCTGAAAGACTCTACAGACAGACAACATCATCAAGAGCATGGACAAGTCAAAGGAAAGTTAGGCAAGCACCCAGAAGTCACATGATTATCCAGACTAGCTAAATGTCTCTGGTCTTAGACTAAGAGAACTCGCAAAAGCAAGCAGTTTTGCTTCTTGCGCTAGAGACCATTTCCTAAAAATAAAGTGAAACGGCTTCTAGAATATCAAAACCTCTCTCAAACATCACATCCACAGAGGGCACCGTAGCTGGGGTAGAAGTAGTAAGACTACACCACTTGCAACAGAAGACAATCCACCACGTAATTATAGCACTGACCTTGGGAAGCAGAGGAATCTTGTTCAGTCTGATCCCAGGAATCTCTCTGAAAATGCCACAAGAGAGTCACATAAGAGAAGCGTAGGTAGGGGGAGTTTTGAACACACCAGACCCCCATCCACCATACACAAAATATTCATGACTCACTGGAGATATCAGGGTGCTAGAAAAGGACTCCTGCACACTGCTAACAAATTCTCTCCCCCTTGACCGCAATAAAAATTCACACCTATAAACAGAAAGATTTAAATACATTAGTACAGGATATCTCAAGTGAAAGTAGCAGTAGTAGTCTGAATTTTAGAAGCAGAGGGTGCTATTGGGTTATGAGCAAGCCGATATATTCATTAAAGAAGAGGAAGTATCATGGTCTTTTTTACTCCTCCTTGCACGAAGGGCAACAATAATAGGTTCACGATCCTCCCCCCCCCTTAGTCCCCTCTTCATGTCTGGCCCAAGATGAGCTCAGTTGCAACATCACATTTTCTGAGATCTGTTCCAAAGGATAATAGACCAGTTCACAGAAAAACACAAGAACTGCTGCAGAAAAACAAGGTTTACAATATCTTCCTTCTTGTACCTCTGAGTAGTAGAAACCAAAGCTGCTGTTTGATGTCAAAGAAAGTGATTTTAATTGAACTTTTAGATTGTGAACTCTAGGTCAAATTAGAAAATCTCAGGTGTGAACTGCGCTATTCTACCTGAGCTTGAACATTTGATTTTGCTTTTAAAGTAGGAGGGTCTAATTATTTAGGCACTCTTGGAAGACAGTACAGACTAAGTGGCCAATCTAGAAACAAGTTTTCTATCACTACTAGGATCTGAAGGCAGTCCCTTGCTGGGCAACTTTGCCTTTGAGGATTCAGAACCCTTCTCTTGAGATTTTGGGGCTTTCCAGAAGGTTACAGACTATGGCAACAGTTTATGCAGTTAAACATGATTGAACATACCTGACTAGCCCTTCACCTGCTCTAGGTAGGTAGAAAAATCTAGAACTAAGCTAGTAAGAGCACCTGGAAGCAGCACTTATTACCAGCACACCTCTGACTCATTTGTCTCTCAAGTGGGGGTATTTCCATCTTATGAAAGAATAACTGAGTGTGGAATGAACAGCATATCTTGGTCTTGCTACGAGGGGAATTTGTCAACCAAGACTGACTCACCGCGGGTACCATTTGGCATGTTCCCTCCAAGGATCATCTCCAAAAGACCAGTTCCTCACGCCTCCATCACAGTAAAAACACCTGACTATATCATCCTGTCCTGAAAAAGACATCAAGAGATTATTTGACATCTGAAACACTGTACGCTCTACTGGCCCCGGATGAGAGCCTGGGGGGAGATTCAGCACAAAACAGAGGCTACTGGACAGAACAGATGAGCACATGACAATTTACCAACACTATGCAAGTTGCAGAGGGGCAGGAAACCCAATGAGAGTTTGAACTCCCAGAGCTGCTGCTGGTTGAGACAATTCCAGAATTGGGTCACAAGCTAACAGGCAACATGCACATGAGCACCATAGCTCCCATGTACCCACATACCTATCCAATCCCCTCTTGCCTGGATTTAGAGTAAAGCCGTAATTAATTATACCTATAAGCATACTTTGTTTCCTAACCACAATCTGCCATGAACAGCAGATGTACACCTATGTACACAGCTTCGTCTCACAGGTATAAGAATTTGCCACGACATGGTCCCAGGCTACCCATCCTGCTTCCGTGCTTCTCTTCAACAGAAATCACAGGGGGGGAAAAAATTAAAGCTGAACACAGTTAAGAAGAACTGCCTACAAATGCCCTGCCCTAAGGGCAATGAAACAACGTCAGTAAAGGTTGCCAGTGAGGTTGGGCCACAGACATGATCTTCCAAATGCTCTTGTGTTAAAGTACTGTTCAGCTGAAGTCGAGCGCTCGGGTCCAGCGCTCTCCTGCTCCAGCAGTGGCAGGGGAGCCCCGTGTCAGACTGCTGCTGCCTAACAAGTCCCCAGGGTCAGCCTCTGGGCTGGGCAATCAAACAGCTGCTCTGCAAGTGATAAATCAAGTCCAACACAAAACACACAGGTTTTTAGCTGCAGACACTGCTTTATAGTTTATTCTGTGTTCCTGGCCGTGACAGTCTTCCCCATGCCTGAAGAATTAGTAAGAAGACCAAAGCAGCAGATAAGCTAATAGGCCTATAATGCTCTTCAATTTAGGCTTGCATGCTGTTTAGCCCCTGCTACTGTGCTCCAAGTAGAGGTACGACTCTTAGCATTAACTAATTTCTTAGCATTAACTGGATTTACAGCAATATGCAGATTATGCAGTTTGAGGGAAAATCTTGCAGAAGTAGAGACATTCTAGCAAACAAACCAGTCACTTCCTCTAACTCAAGTTAAAATAACAGAAGGTCAGTTATTTAGAGAGACTTTCCTACGTGCATATCATTCACCACATTGCATCTTCGATTTTTCCAGCTATCACAAGAATTAAGGCTGGTTTTCTTCCATTCCCATCTTTACCAACAAATAGCAGTTAAATAAGTGGAGAAAGAGGCAATTCAATTTTCCTTCAACAATGACACCATGAGGTGTTCAGGATGCACAGGTTTGTTTCTGCTAAGGCAGCTTTAGTGTATGGACCCTGCCTGTCACTTCCTTCCATGTCTCTGATGTGCAAATACAAAATGAATAGATTCCTTCATATGGAAGAAGTCACACTTGTAACACACAGAAACATCACTACCCTATCTTTCAAAAAACCAGAAGGATTCCCCCCACCCCAGTATTAATTGCAGTCAAGCATCAACATACTGTAAATATTTCCTCTGACTGGTCCATCCAGGAGAAGCACTTATTCAAACCTATTATCTAGCCAGCAAAGCCTTCTCAAGGCAAAACAACAATGTTAAATTGATATTCACATGCACATGATAACAAATATTGCTCATTTTCCTCAAAAAGGTTCTTTTTTCCTGTATTACAAGTCCAGGGCCCTTATGGTAACAAGCCACAGTAACAAAAAAAATGGGCTGACTACTACAGGTTTCACTCAGATTTGGTTTTTTGAGAAGGCTTCAGTGCAAGAGAGGCTTATACAAAGCATGACATGCCAAGTAAGTGCCTCAAGTCTTTTTAGAAGTGCAAGTAATAAATAGGCTCAATGGATCTTAAAGCACAGGCTTTTCTGCCAGTACAACATCTGTTTAAAGACCATCACTTTTCCCACGCCTGCTGGTAAGGGAACTGACTTACTTGCAGACCCCTCAGTAGCAAACAGGAGTTAGCACAGACGTGAATTCTGTGCAAGCAGCAGAGGCTGAAGGAAGGATGTGGTTTCCAACTACACTACACACACTTGCAAGTATTTGGACAAGCAATAAAACATAGTGGCACCTTCAAAAGCTAACTTGAATAAGAGAGGAAAACATTTCCCCAGCGTGCCTACCTGTGTAAAAGAATCCTGCTCTAGCCAGTTGCTCAGGATGCATATCGGTGTAATGCGGCCAGTTCCGAAACGTAGACAGTCTCATCTCCTCTGCTACCATCTCTGGGTATTCTGGTTCATTGGGTAGGGCTGTCTCCTCACTGTCTATCCCCTGCAAAAGACTGAGGAACTGCCCATCCACAGTGTCAAAGATTTCCTGAAGAGGAAGCATCTCTTGGTTCCCAACATCCTCACCACAAATGAATTTACAGGAAGGGAAGAACTTCAGATGCTCTGCTACTGGGCAATCACCAGGTCTCCAGTCCTTCAGGACACCACCACAGCAGAAACACTGTACTTCATCTCTTGGACCCACAAAGAAAAAGCCAGCCTTGACCAAATCTCGGGCAGACACAGGTGAGGTGCCTGGCCACTGCCAAAAAGTCCTCAGTCTTCTTGCTTCGTTCCTCATGCTGGATTCAAACAAGTGGCAGATAGAAGCCCTGAGCTCGACCTCCTCCTCTGGTGTCACGTCCCCCATGTTCTCACTCTGAAAGAGAGGATGAGAGAACCCAGAGCAGTCAGCTGGATTCCTGGGGTCAGGCAGCGCTCACCCTGCGTTATTTGTTCCTCATCACCATGCATATTCCGGAAAGCTCCTGGTCTTGACAACGCTGAGCTTGTTTCGGAACTGCAGCCCAATCAGAGATCTGGTTTTTCCATACTTTGCTGTTGAACTTGTGCTGAGTCCTCACTAGTGTCTGAAGGGAAGAGACCAGCACTTTCCAAGCCCCTCTGCCAATTTACAGGAGAGATGCTTGTGGGAACAGATAGTGGAGGGGGAGGGCAAAGCCTGTGCTGCTTCCCTAGCTAAGCCAACCCAGCTTTTGGCATCTGATCTGTGTGATAAATCCCCACTCATTTTGCTCAGCCTTTATATTAACATTAAAAAGACTCTTCCCC